AACCAACCCATTTAATGATGTTTTTATTTTATATTTTGCAATAAATGATTTTTAAACAATTCTAATTAAAGTGTTTATGAAAAGCTTCTGAACTCAACATTACACTAAAACTACTTTGTGAAATGATAAAAGCAATATAAAGATTACAAATCTAACAAAAAACGTGATTTTCCTGACTTTATAAATGTATAATAAATATTTTTAACTCTGAGCTGAAATAAAAATCAGCTTTAAAGTTTGTTTTTATTGATTTTTAAAATCATCAAATCTGTTTTTATGTGTTTGGTTTGTAACTATTTTGTCTGTTTAAAGAAGCTGAACTGCAGAAATTGAACTTTTTATCGAATAAACTTCCTCATTTAAAGCTTCCTGTTTTAAGTTTTTCCCTTCTGTCAGCGTCACAAACAAAAACACAAACCAGCAGCTGGATAAAGACTCCAAGGAGCTTTAATCACGTCCCTGTTCCACGTAAAACAAATATAAAAAAGTAGAGCGCTCTCCGGCCTCGGCCTGCTTTCYTATGAACGTTTCTCCAAACAGGTTTAAAAAATATCCATTCATAAGAACACGAGCAGGAGCTGAAACAAACTAAACACAAAGAAAAGTAGTTACAGTAAACTAACGAAGGACTCCTGGGTGAGTTCTTATCGTTGGCACCGAACGCGAGACGGTTAAATTAAAATCAAAAACACGACGGGGAGGAAGGGGGTTCTTGATGCAAGACTTGGTCGGTCTCAGAGCTGCAGGGCGCAGAACTGCTGGTACACGGCCAGGATGTGTGGGTCCAGCTCAGCTGTGAACAGCAGGTTCTCCAGGGTCCCCATGTACTGCTGGATGGTTCCGTGGTGCTGCGGGGGGAACAGAGATTTATCTGTAAAAATGTAGTTTCTTCTGAAGCTAAAGGTTCATTCACAAAAAATACAATAAATAAATAAACAAACAAAACAAGGGAAAGTTGTTAGATCGACCAATCAAATGAATCAAATAAAACCCAGAGTGGAAACCAGTGACGTGTGTTAACCGAAGGTACCATCAAGTGATTTTTAATGGTCGGAGAGGGCGGCCATATTGTTCAGGGCAGGGACAACTCTACAGTTAGCTGAGAGGTCAGCACATCCGTGAAACTCAGTTTGATGTTGAAGACAATTTTTCAATTTAATAGAAATATATTAAACAAAAATCAAACATACAAGGCAATGAATGATGTTCAACTAACCAATGAAAAACTAATACCTATCTGCGACTCTAATCAAGCCATGATAAACTGCTGACATTGACAGCCCGCCTCTTCCTATATATGGCTTTCGTACCACCGTGACATGCGTTGACGCCTCCAGTCAATATAACAATTGTGTTAATCTGGAAAAACAACACAGAGATCATAGCTCCTGCCTGGGCTGAATAGACTTGATTGACAGACAGATGACAGAGGTGAGAGTAACTTTAGCTTACCGTCTTCTCTAGTCTAGCTAACATTAGCTTACTGTCCTCTGTCGTCTAGCTAGCATTAGCTTACTGTCCTCTGTCGTCTAGCTAGCATTAGCTTACCATCCTGTCGTATAGCTAACGTTAGCTTACCATTTTCTCTAGTCTAGCTAACATTAGCTTACCATCCTGTTGTATAGCTAACGTTAGCTTACCGTCCTCTGTTGTCAAGCTAACGTTAGCTTACTGTCCTCTGATGTCAAGCTAACATTAGCTTACCATCTTCTCTAGTCCAGCTAACATTAGCTTACCGTCCTCTGTTGTCTAGCTAACATTAGCTTACCGTCCTCTGTTGTCTAGCTAACATTAGCTTACAGTCCTCTGTTGTCTAGCTAATGTTAGCTTACCGTTGTCTGTCATCTAGATAGAAGTAGCTTACCGTCTGTCTTCTAGCTAACATTAGCTTACTGTCCTCTGTCGTCTAGCTAACATTAGCTTACTGTCCTCTGTCGTCTAGCTAACATTAGCTTACTGTCCTCTGTCGTCTAGCTAACATTGGCTTACCATCCTGTCGTATAGCCAACGTTAGCTTAACGTCCTCTGTTGTCAAGCTAACATTAGCTTACCGTCCTTTTGTCAAGCTAACATTAGCTTACCGTCCTCTGTTGTCAAGCTAACATTAGCTTACCATCTTCTCTAGTCTAGCTAACATTAGCTTACCATCCTCTGTTGTCTTGCCAACATTAGCTTACCGTCCTCTGTTGTCTAGCTAACATTAGCTTATCGTCCTCTGTTGTCTAGCTAACATTAGCTTATCGTCCTCTGTTGTCTAGCT